TGTGTGTGTGTGTGTGTGTGTGTGTGTGTGTGTGTGTGTGTGTGTGTATGCGTGCCCGATCGTATGTATGCATATAATATTTTTCGCCTAAATCATAAATCACTCCACACACTCGACTACAAAATGGTATTAATTCAAGTGCTTCCAAAAGTCTATTATGTACTTAATGTAAGTGTTGACGCGCTAAAGAGGAAAATATGCAAGCAACAAATTGCAGCGCAATGCCAAAACGACACAGCGCACACAACACATGCACACACGAACGTAAGAGAGCATGCTACAGCCACACGAGCACGAGAGTCTTAAAGAGACCTGATTTTCAACAGAATAATATAATTGTTAATTAAGTAAATGGCAAACGTGCTGTTTTGCATTCATTTTATCGTTTATCCACTTACAGCAAACGATTCAACAAACCGTATATTTTACACGGATTTTATTTTACATAAATTTCGACGGTTGTCTCGTCGTCGTCGTCGTCGTCGTCTTCGTCGTCGTTGTTGTTTAACGGAGTACACGGATACACGAAAAGGGTTGCAGAAATTCGCTTAGTTCATGGATTTGTGAACACTTATTTGGAGGCAGCGCACCTAAGAAGCTACGCAGTTTTGACGATGATCATTTTGTCATTTGCTAAGCGCATGATATTTACTGCCTGAATTCGTTACTTGGTTGGTACATTGAAATTTATCCTCACCAATACCGGGTGTATTTACTTCTACCTGACGGTAATAATTGCACGGTGTTTTTCTTCATTTAATTCTAACGCAATAGTATCCATTGTATTTTGTACGGATAGTGCAGCAAAATATGGAAATATCATTCAAACGTTCAGGATGACTATGACAAACGATGAAAATTTTCATGTAAAATTATACAATCAACGTTCAACTTCGTATTTAAATTTCTCATCGCTCTTATTCAAATTTCGAATCAATGAAAAGACTTTTTTTCTCTCTCCAAATGTCTTGGACGTAATTCAATCCCGTATTTGAACCTTCAACAAGCTTGTTACCATTTTTAAATGAAAAACGTCGTTTCAACGAAGAAATAAAAAAGTAGCAATGGAGTGTTTTGTCGGAATAAGAAAAAGGAATACGAAATTCAATTGAAGTGAATATTGTAGTTGTGAGCGTTGGCACAAATTATGATTGACATTTCGCCAAACGAAATAATATGAAATTTGATTTCAGAATGGTAATTGAAATGCATCGGATTCGGACTGGGCAAAACAGCCACGAAATAAATGAAATCAACATTTCATGTTCTGCAAAATTAAATTGGAGTATCAGAATATTCGAGATTTCTTTAGTTTGTCACACTTTCGGTTGAGATTTTCAAAAATAATCTGATTTGTAGAAAAGAATCGGATGATAATTTGGTGTGGTGCAAGAGATACGTTACGTCTTAGATAGATATTGGTTGTGAGAGTAACGAATCAACCAAAATATTGGCCGATTTGAAATGAAACGAACTCGTACAGACTGCACCGTACAGTAAAATGCCAGTTTGTACTTATGCATCAATCTTTAGAAAAAAGTTTACACATTTTTGTCTGTATCTGTTATTGTTATGCACCGAGACACAGTGCCAATGTCTTTCTTTAAAAAAAAAATTCGAATAGCAATCCGATATAAACACGGCATGTAAAAATCCAGAAGATGGAAAAATGGAATTCTCCCTTTCTTTTCTTTCACCACATTATGTATGGAAATAAATGTGCATATTTTTTGAATGCATGGATAAAAAACGCGATTCTGGAAGTGGTTTATTTGTGATAAAAAAAAGACTAAGCCATATATCACTGTGCGATGTGGGAGCATTTCACATACAACAGCGTAAGCTTCGTCAGCTGTGGGAGCATTTCTTCCCTTGAAAATTATCTTATTCAACCTCTGAGTGCAATGTGCATAGTTTTTTTTCTTTCAACAGTATAACATTACTTAAAGACTATTAGAAATAAGTATTCGACAAAAAGCAATCAATTGCAGCTCTTTTATCTTCTCCCGTTTGAGTTCAAGAAGAAACTTTATTATTCGCTTTAGTATGGTTAAACTCATCAGAAACACCGTACAACAAATTTCAACTTTTGCTCTCACACATGGACACTTTAAATGCAGGATGTTAGGGGACCTAAAAACAAACAAAACTGCATACTACGATTTCTCCGTTGACGTGGTAATAAGAAAAATATCGACCTATCAAATATTTTGTGTGGGCTAGGATTTTTAGACTTTTATATCATCATGTTTTGGTCATTAACTCAACTATTAATGATGTTATTGACTTGAAATCTTTTTTTTATTTCATAGATAAGAGTCAGAAAAACCAATTCCGTTGAAAAAATATGCCAAAAAATCATCTTTGGGTGGTTTTTTTTAACCAAAATATCGAAAAAAGGCCATTTTTACTAGTTTTTTGACCAAAA